CTATTCACTTAAAGAAAATAAAAACACTTTAAAATGATTTTCTTCTTATAAGTGTAAAAAAATTAAAATCAAAGACAAAGAAAAACAATAGAAAAGTTTTTTTTCACCAGGGTTACCTCTACAAACCTCTCCCCTCAAAGAAGACAGAGGCTTTCKTCTGGATTTTTAAAAGACTTCCACCTTGCTGCAGGCCACACCCACACCCAGGTCTCGTCAGAAACAAAAACCTTAGTCTGGGTTTTGGTCCTGTACTCACTGCTGAGCGTGCAGAGGATCTGCTGCTGGCTGGGGTCCGTCTGCAGCCTCCTCGTCTCCAGAATCTTCTTCACGGAGTCCAGCAGGCCGAAGACTTGGGCGATGTTGCTGAGCACGGCCACCTCTACCAGACAGGAATCTGGGATCAGTGTGGTAACCAATCAAAAGTCCACTCAGTCCATCAGAACAGGATTATTGACAAAAAAACACTACAATGCTACAACAGCTGACTCTGAGCTCTCTGAATGAATTTATGCTGACTCAGCAATCACTGTGGTCCAGATGGGATTTCATGTTAAACTTTACTTTCTGCTGACGTTTTTCTACTTCAGTCATTCAACAAAACATTCAGCAGCAGATTTCAGCTGGGACTTTTGTTTGTGGTAACTTTTATTTGTCAAACTTTTATGTTTTATTTACAAACTCTTTCCACATAGAAAAACACAGAGATTCCTTTAAAAACAGTGAAGTGTGTTAAAACCTGCCTCAGTACTCTCACTCTGTTGTTGGCTTTTTTTGATTCTTTTAGCTAAAGTTTTMTTTTGTTTACATTTTGACTACTTATTTATGTTTTAGCTAATATATTTCAGCTAACAATCAGCTTCTGTTAGCTTGAATAACTCAGTTTCAGCTAGAAACTAGTGTTTTGCTTATTCTAGCTTAGCTAACACTTGCCTTCTTTAAGCTTTAAGCTAGTGTTTTTTTGTCTAGATCTAGCTAATGCTCAGCTTCTTTTAGCTTTAAGCTAGTGCTTTTATTTGTCTAGTTTTAGCTAATGCTCAGCTTCTTTTAGCTTTAAGCTAGTGCTTTTATTTGTCTAGTTTTAGCTAATGCTCAGCTTCTTTTAGCTTTAAGCTAATGTTTTTCTTTGTCTAGTTTTAGCTAATGCTCAGCTTCTTTTAGCTTTAAGCTAATGTTTTTCTTTGTCTAGTTTTAGCTAATGCTCAACTTCTCTTAGCTATAAGCTAATGTTTTTCTTTGTCTAGTTTTAGCTAATGCTCAGTTTCTTTTAGCTTTAAGCTAATGTTTTTCTTTGAACAGATGCTAATGCTTAGATTTTGACTTGTGCTCACCGTCCTTTAGCTATAATAACCCAGTTTCGGCTACTTCAGGCCTTCACACAGTTATTTGACAGACACGGCATCTCTGTAGCTGTTAATGTGTCTCGCTCCCTGCGTGCGGTTCAGTTTCGGCTGCAGTCCCCGGCTCTGACTGCAGGTAGCTGTGGTGTCATACCTGTTTCCTGCAGGGTAGGCACATCTCTGCGCTGCAGCACACTGTTCAGCATCTGCACCAGCTCGGTGTTGATGTTGGTCACCACTTCGCCCAGTAAACCCACATCGGCGATGCCCCTCCAGAAGTTCAGCGTGTCCTCTGTGGACAGACGGAGGAGTCTGAGACAGGAGACACGTGCTGCTGACGTTCTGTTACCACAGTACTGATGTGTGTGGGCCTGCTCTCTGACCTGACATCTCACTGCAGCCCTTCTTGTCTGCAGACTCCAGAGAACTGGAGCTCCAGTCCGACTTCCTGCCCGGGACCTCCACTCGATCTTCAGTCGCCACGCCGTCGATCCCCAGAACCACCTGGGCTGCGGTTACACAGGAGAGCGCACAGCTGATGGTGATTCAGGCCGATAAGAAGCTGCTTATGAAGCTAAAACGCTGCTCATTAGCAGAACTAATACAGCTCCAGAACAACAGCTGAAGGTGAAGCTGTAGTTTGAACAGAAGTCGTACCATCTGTTCAGCTCACATTTCAGCTTGTTCAGCACAATTTACAAATGTTTTATGATTGTGGTTTTATGATGGTGTAAAACACGTCTACACTCAGAGAACAGACGGCAGTAAAAACTGCTTCTTCACTCTAAAACATTTTATTACAGCAGCAAGTTAATTGTTGAGTAAAAGTTTATGTTTCGTGTGTGCTGCTTGTTTCTGCCCACAGAGTGGGACTCCATATGAACTGAACAAATCCTGAGTCCTGAGCTGCAGTGATCTCATTGACTGGTCTAACCCAGGGGTGCCCAAACATTTTCCCCGAGGGGGCCAAAATGAAAATCTATCCAGGGCTGCGGGCCAAATGCAGTATTATAACACATGAAATACAAATACCTTTTTAAGTAAAGTCCTTTATTTTTAATGATTAAGCTGTGCAATGGCCCTCTTTTGTTTTAGTCTGTCCACTTGGAGAAAGTCTGCCATACACTCAAGTAGCAAAGGCTCATGGGACATATCATAAATTGATAAAATATGAGTTTTTGTGGCCTTATAAAGTGTGAAAATCTACATGTGGGGTTAAATCTGATCTAAAATTTTCTAGTCATTTCATGTTTCATGTTTAATCCTAATAAATCAAAGATAAAGTCAGCACCATACAGCCCTTTTATACATAGTCATTTGACCAATGGAAATACCATGTTTCTACATAGGATAACAGGTTACAACCTTGTAAC